TTGTAAGGGTGTTTGCTCCGACAGCGATGCCATAAAATGGCGTGCACATTTAGTGGCCAATAATCACAACGTAGATCACGCTCTTGCCATCCAGTAGCCTCTGCTTGACTCCCTGCCCATGTCAAACACTCTCGACTATTACGATATGCGATGTCTCTCGTGCTGAATCTCGGGTGTGTGAGAAGTGACAATAGAGTATCGATGTCATTCTGTGACATACTGACGCCGCCCCTGGCAGAGAAAATCAGTACCTCAAGCTTGTGGGGGTTGTCAAAAGACTTTATAGCCTGCGGTTGCTGTTCTTCAAATGTCTCGCCCTCCCCTTCTACATTGTCGGGGCCCCCGACGTCCTCGCTCTCATCATTGACGAGATTCACTGCACCTACACTTGATGGCCCGCCCTCATCCACCACACCCATCTCCTGCCCTGGTGTTCTTTCGGCCACCGCGGCCGGGCATGCCCTCGCTCAATGTGAGTTTAAAGTTCATAGAGACATGAAAGGTCTGCCACAGTCACACACCCTTGGGCCGATGCTCATTTTTTAATAGCGTTTTCCTCATTCACTATCGTTCATATATGGCGGATGCACGTTCGTCGCGAAGTTATCGGGTTGCCCCCTTCACCTTGGGACACCGCTTTCTGATTAATGTGTGCATTCAAAAAACAAAGAGAGCGGTCCTGACAGTGTTTTGATTAGCATTTTCTACCTTGTTTCTGCTCGTTTTAATAGTAAGTAGCAAAGCATATTTTGTTGTTTTGTCTCATTCTTGCACATCCTCTTCTGTGTGTTTCATCCTGCATGTGTATTTGGCTATGTGCGTGTGTGTGTGTGTCATCCTGCATGTGTATTGGTGTGTGTGTGTGTGTGTGTGTGTGTGTGAGAGAGAGAGAGAGAGAGAGAGGTTCACTACAGCGGGGCAGAACGACAAAAAACAGCATCAGTGGACACAGATACATCACGCAGTAGAGAACCGCATGTACTTAGAGAGGCAAAGAGTGGTGAACATGATACACAGACAAAGAGGGATGTACATGTTATTTATCCCATGCGCATCAAAACGTATGTGCAATGCTTATTTATGCTATTACTTTATGGCTCTACGCTCTGTATGTCTTCCCTCATCCCTACTGTCTACCATTGTCTGTCGTGGTATGTGTGTGTGTCTATGTGTCCTGCCATGGCCGAGCACGACGTATTGCCTCTATTGTTGACAAGTTGGGATGCAATATCGCTCCACAAGCAGTCACCAGTGCGTCGTGCATGAGGTAACTTAGGTTGACTCCCCATGTCAGTGACGTTGCTAGCACAGCCTCTCTGTTCACCGAAGGTGGTAGCTGAAAAAAAAACAACGAAAGAAAAAAGAAAGAAAGAAAGAAAGAAGAAGACTAAGAAGAGAAAGGAAAAAAAAAAAAAAAAAAA